CTTGGTGCGGCTGGTTCCCTGTCGCGCTGCTGACCCTCCCACCTGGCGCCAGACACACATTCCCCTTCCCGCACGCCGGGGGGCGCCCGGGACACCTAAGTTGGTTCAGCGACGGGGTCAGGGAGACAACCCGCTGTAGTGGGTGGCCATCCGGCCGCTTAGGGTTTGTATTTTGTATTCGGGATCTTTGTTGATGTCCAAGTTCATTTCTCAGGAATACCGAGTTTTGATCAAATCTGTGTGAACCCAGCTGTCAAATCTGCAAACCCATCACATTAGACAATGGGCCGCCACGGAGGACAGAAAAGAAGTGCCCGTTTTGATCGAGGGGGGTTAATTGAAAAGGGCACAGGCTTTGGTTGAAGTTTGAGGCCCTGGTATAAGGACGGGGAGAAGAGGAGGAGGAGGGAGGAGGGATGGATGGCTCTCCATTCAACTACACAGCGCACGGCGCGCCCCTCCGCTGCAGCGGCTGCTCCTCTGCGTGCTGGCATTGTTCAGAGTAGCCGAGGAGAGTCTGCGCCTCTGTGCCTCGGTGCATGCCCTGAACCCCAGGGACGTCCCAGCGACCCACGCTCTTGGTTTGCAGTGCACGTGTTCCTCAGGGGCAGGTTTGGGGAGAGTGACGCCCTCATCAGCCACCCCTCCCCCAGCACAGACCCGCACGCGCGCACACGAGCATACCATACGCGGATTTCCAGTTCCGTGTATCAGTTTACATTTGGTTGTTGAGTAAACAAAGCAAACATATGTCACGTTTTCGCGACAGATGGTTCAAAGTAAGGGCTACTTAAGTTCTGTTTCCCCAGCCTTGGTAACAATCTAGGTTACAAAGAAGACTAAGAGCAAATGTAATGAAGTCTTAAACTCAGTTTCTTTTTTTTTAAAGAATTGTTTTATTTAACTTTATTTATTATTATTATCATTATTATTTTCCAGTTTGGTTAGAGAGAGACAGAGAGACAGAGAGAGGAAGTGAGAAAGCAAGCCACCAGGTCCGAGACTTGAACCTTGCGTGGTCAGTCATGTGGGAGTCAAGCGCTTTTAACCACCATGCCACTTTGCCGGCCCCCCCCTAAAATCAGTTTCTTCACCTTCAAGAACTTTATTCTCATATTTTCACACACACACACATACACAAACATAGAAATCCTGGGAAGATGGTTTTAGTGAGAGGAGGGCTAGATTTGAATTAAGAGTTTACCTAAAAATTCTGTTTGTCTGTAGACACCCACAACATAAAACTCTATTTCATCTTTCTAGACTTCAAGTATAGGGAGGTGTTTACTCTAGAAAAAAACGATAATTGGGATTCCAGATGTTAATAGCCGGACTAGTGATGTGTCATTGCTGACCACTTGGGTGGTTGAACAGCAATAAAGTTCTGTTTAAGACATCATCTATACCTGTTGTGTTTGTAGTTCGCTTAGCTCTAACTCCATGTCACTCTATATATTCTACAGAAATCCTTTAAGTTCAATTTCAACAGGCTGGAGAAGGGTGGGTTAAAAGTTCTCCAAGTGTAAAATATAGAACTTCTCTTAAATTATTTATAACTTCAAGAATATTTCAGAACCGTCCACTCGCATTCATTCTCAGAAAGTTTTTGCTCATAATGAAAATAGAGCTTTAGGGGACCAGCAGTTGGCGTAATGGCTATGTCTCTGGACTCCCATGTAGCAGACCTCAGTTCGAGTCCCAGATCCGGCGGCTTAAACTCACGCCGGACGCATGTGCATGTGTGGCCAGGATCCTGAGAGGAGAATGGAGGAGAACAGATTTCAGCATGGCCATTCCCCTTGGGGGGTGATTTCTCACTTTTTGCCTCTCTGTCCCTCTCATCTTTCTGGCGACCATGTGCCCTATAGCAAAAACCTCTAAAAAGAGAGAGAGATAGAAAAAAGGAAAGAAAGAAAATAGAGCTAGCAAAAAACCTCTCCAAAAAGAAAACAGAGCTTTGTTTTTTAAAAATAAGGAAGCATCAGCCACTTATCACGGTGTTGTCCAATTCAGTACTCACCGACCATGTGACTATTCTGATGAAATTAAAATGAAATAAAAGGAAAAAAGTAGTTTCTCGGTGGTGTAACCACATTTCAAGTGCTCCATAGCCATATATATATACGCACACACACACACACACACACACACACACACACACATATATATATATTTATTTGTTGTTGTTGTTGAGGGTTTTTTGGGAGGTTCTTATGGATAGCACTACCTCGTAATGTTGGTGTGAAGTTACTTATTATGGTGTACGTGGAAAGTTCTTCAGATTGTGGAGTAGTACCGGCATAGAGTAAATGCTCTGTACACAGCAGTAGTGGGAGCTGTTGATGGGAGAATAATGATGCTTTGTCACTTTCTTGAAGTGGAAGAAACTATGAGGACACAGCCCACTGCTAGTGTGTTTTCCGCTCAGGATGGAATGAGAAAGCAAAGCCAAGAAGGAGGGCAGTAGATATGTCAAAACTGGATCCCCTGGGACCAGCTGTTAACTTAACGGCTATGTCGCTGGACTCCCACGTAGTCGACTGCAGTTCGCATCCCAGACCTGGTGGCTTAAAACTCACACCAGGCGCGTGCACGTGCGTGCCCAAGATCCCTAGAGGAGATGTGCATGTGCCCTATAGCAAAAACCTCTTAAAAAACAAAACAAAACAAAGCAAAAACATGCATCTCCTGAGGCCAGCAGGTGGCGTGGTGGTTAAGGTGCTGGACTCCCACATAGTCTATTACAGTTTGAGTCCCAGACCCCGTGGACCCAGTGGACCCAGTAATTCTGTTTGAAAATCATGCCAGGTATGTGTGTGTACATGCTCAAAATCTAAGGAGGACAAGGGAGGAGAAAGGACTGCAGCATGGTCATCACCCCTAAGGGGCGATATCTCACTTTCCCTCTTTTTCTCTCTCTGGGGAGCGCACATGCCCTATGGCAAAATCTTAAAAAGAAGAAGAAGAAGAAGAAGAAGAAGAAGAAGAAGAAGAAGAAGAAACTAATCTCTTTTTTTTTTTGGAGAGGTTTTCGCTATAGGGCGCGT